AGGAAGGAAGGAAGGAAGGAAGGAAGGAAGGAAGGAAGGAAGGAAGGCAGGCTCTGCAAGCACCCAGGGGGAAGCAGGTCCCTTTTCCTCCTCTCTTGCCTCCCCTAGCACCCCTTACTGATATAATCTACCAAGGAGCAGCTGGCAAAGGCTAGAAAAAAATTGGTTTAGAGTCCCAGTCCCAGCATAACAAAGTGGAACACCGAAGGATAGGTTAGCACCAAGAAGCAATGACCCAAGAGCAGGCACCCATGGGGAAGTGCTTCACATGCCATCACTTCAGGGCTCTAAACCTTAATGGCCTCAGCTTTAAAATGGGGGAAGTATTGCCTGTCTGATGATCCGTGGATATGAGCTCCAGGAAAAGTACATGGTTTTCAGCTTGCTTACCACTATTCCTCCAGCTCCTGGGACAGTGCCTGACCCACAGTGGCCATTCAAGAGTAAAGGCAGTAACTGGTCGTTGTTATATTATTATCAACAAATGGAGATTCTAAAGCCTAGACATTTAAACAAAATTTTGTTTTTGAGACAGGGTCTCACTCTGTTGCCCAGGCTGGAGTGCAGAGGTGTCATCCTAGCACATTGCAGCCTCCATCTCCTGGGCTTAAGTGATCCTCACACCTCAGCCTCCCAAGTACCTGGGAATACAGGTGCACCACTATGCCTGGCTTTTTATTTTATTTTTTTATTTTTTATTTTTTTTGAGATGGGGTTTCACTTTGCTGCTAGGCTGGTCTCCAACTACTGGCCTTAAGCAACTCTCCCACTGTGGCCTCCAAAATGTTGGGATTACAGGTGTGAGCCACTGTTCCTGGCCTAAAAAAAAAAATGAATTTAAAAAAAAAGGTTGAGGCAGCTCTCGCCTAGATTACTAAGTGACTCAACCAAATAAGTGCCAGGGCCAAGAATAGAGCCTGGGGCCTGTCTCGTACCCTGATGAGGACGTTATGTACTAGTAATGGTTTTATTCTTTAGAATAATGATGAGAATGTTATAAAAACAATTTAGCCTTGGTAGAGATGAGGCATTACCTGTCTTTCTAGGGGGATGTTTGCGCGCCAATTTCTATCACAGGTGCTCCAGCACTTCTTATACTCAAGGCAGTGATGTGTGGCTCGAAGGTCCTCAGACGCATCTCCTCACAAGGCTGGCTGCGTGGCCTCAGTGGTGCTGAGGAGGAGATGCGTCTTCTCTGACTGGCCCCAGGCCTTAGATGCACTTCATCCAGCTCAGTCCCCTCTCGCCTCTGTGTCCTTCATGCATGTTCCTGCCTCCCCGGCCACTGCCAACATCAACCTGCTTAGGGACCCGAGACCAGTCTCCTCAGAGAGTGTATAATGAGCTGTCCAACAACCACTGTGGATGTGTCCAGACTGTCTTGAAGGCTGTTAAGGTATTTGTTCTGGGTAATCTTCCCTTTGTGCTACGGAGAAGGAACAATGGCTGGATCATCCTGGAACCTCCTCCTGGAGAATGAGCAGCAGCATTTGTCCTGGCTGCCTTCTGGAGGAAGTGCAATCCAAGCTGCAGCCACTCTCACAGCTGGTGCTGGCTCAGTCTACCCCAGATGCAAGGTATCTAATGGATTGCCTCTCGTGTAGGGGCAGGTGAGAGCAGAGCTCGTCTAACACAGTTTGAGGACAGAGGGGCATCACCCATCTGCGGGCATTCCCAGCCACACTTCCCTCCCGGGTTCCGGAGCAAGCTCTCCCTGCATTATCTAACTCCAACTCATCATGCTCAAAAGAGAAGACAGGAGATCTAAAGCCTACAGATAGCCTTGCTCCCCTGTCTCTGTCAAAAACACATATGAAAGTAGAGAAATATTCATCAGACGTGGAAGCAATTGGGGAATAGACCAGGAGAAAACAATTAGGTAATGAAGATGTGCATTAAACCATCTCTGGCACCTTCTTGACCCAGAAACATTCTTTATGTCCTGGTAATGATGGCACATTGAACATTCCAGGGAATTCCAATCCTGGAAATCAAGGAGACTTACTCTAACGGTAGGAGAAAGTGAGTTGTCACCAGGGTGCATGGCTTCCTGGACATTCTACTGGAATACGAGTTGGCTCCCCAGGGCCAGCAGAAGTCATCCCAGGGCAGGTCCCAAGCAGTCTCCCTTCCAGGCTCTGTAGTAAAAATGAACCACTCTTGATTTGAGATTCAGAGTCTAAGGTCAATTTCCCCACCCCAGATCTCACTGGGGGCACTAGATCCCCTAGAGCCTTCTTCAGACCCCTGAGATTTATCACTGGCTTCAGGGAAATGAGCCAATTCGATTAGCTTTTCAATTCTCCCAGCTTCTTTTCCAGGAGCGGAGCGGAGTGCGCGGCTCATTGTCGCAGTGGAACCAGCTAAAGACCCCGCAAGACCCAATACTGACTCCAGGAGGTACCGGGAAGGGCTTGCTAGTGATGGAAACTGGCTATGAATCTTGCTTTCCTGATTCTAAAATCGACTCTGTCTGAAGGTGCTGCTGAGGTGCCCTGAGTACTTCTCCAGTGGTGGGTAGAGGAGTGACAGAGGGAGGAGGGCCCCTGACACACACACAATTTCAGGAAGACAGTTTCTCTATTATCTATTATATAGATTGGGAGGGGGGTGCATTCTTTTCTTCATTCAATATTTATTGAACTTCCACGTATTCCAGGCACTGTCTAGGCATCTGGGCCAGGATAGAGAGAGGAATAAGATAGACCTTTCCTTGCTGTCACAGAACTTAAGTCTTAGCTGGGGAGACAGGAAATAAAGAAGTAAGTGTAAGCAAGTAAGTGAAAACCCCATAATTTGGGGTAGAGGCCCACAGGACAGGTTCTGCAGGAAGCAGACTCTCACAAAGAGATTTGCAGGAGGTTTTTGGGGGCGTGATCTCAGGAGCAACACGTGTGAAGGGTGAGGGACGCAGGACGGACAGACGGAAAAGCTGCTTTCTGTCTTCCTCCTGAGGAGCTTTGCAGCTTGGGACAACAAGCAGTGTTGTCCTAATTGAGATTGGAGGACTGGGCATTTGCACTCCCACGTGACCAGTCTTTGGCTGCAAGCTGCCTCCAGGAAGTGGGCGTACATGTTGGTGGAGCAGCTTCCTCTGACAGAGGAAATGACACACCTCTGACACTTTCCAACGCTTGGAAAGTGTCTCAGGTGTGAGCTGGTGGTGTCTGCACTCCCAGCAGCTAAGGCGATGAGCATTTCTCCGTCCTGCCAGGGGATCTGAGCGGCACATAACAACATCCACTATGAAATGTGGTGTGTGCTGGGCAGTGGCTGACTGAGGAGCTCGAGAGTAGGAGTGAGGCAGGCTGTTTAAAGAGGTGGCGAGGGAAGGCCTCTCTGGGCAAAGGCAGAGACTTGCAAAGACTTGATTGGTGTGAGGAAGTAAGCCATTCAAAGTCAAGGGCACCAGAGGTTCTAAGCAGAGGAAACAGCAAATGCAAAGCAGAGAACAAGCTTGGCACATTTGAGAACAAACAATAAGTCCAGTGTGTCTGGAGCCACAAGAGTGAAGGAGAGAGCAGCTGGCGGTTCAACCAATGGGGTACCAGGAAACCAGATGGCGGAGAGCCTGGTAGACCATGGTAAGGAGTTTGCAGTTTACTCTAAGTGTGATGGGAGATGTTGGAGCACTTTGAACAGGGGAAAATCACCGTCTGATCTACATTTTAAACATATTATTTCACTAAATAGAGAAATAATACATTTAAAATGGTAGTAATTGGTCATTGCCATATTATCATTAACAAGTAGAGATTCTAAAGTCTAGACTTCTAAAAATAATTTTAAATGGAGCAAATGTTGCTCCATCTGACAATTACATAAGCCAGCCATGCCTGTTCTTTCCCTATAGGTAGAAACATATGGGAAACTGCATTCCAATTCAGGGAAGTATAGGAAGCAGTAATGAAAGTGGGAAGACCTATTACAAGTTTGTTGCAGTCATCCAGGTAAGAGGGGATGGTGGCTGAAAACAAGGTTTCAGCTATGTGGGACCTAGCTTGGAAGGGATGGGATTCTACATATGTTTTGTAGCTGGAAGCAGGAGTTTGAGGCTAAGCGATGACCTGAGAATAGAATTATTTTAGGTGTTAGGCCTGAGAGATGAGGGCACACTGGGGAGGAGCAGGTGCAGTGGGGGCAGGGCATCCAGAATGCTCTTTGGATATCTTATATTTGAGGTGCCTGTCAGACACCCAAGTAGAGATGCCTGATGTGAAGACATCGTATCTGCAGCTTGGGGTCCTTCATAAGATCATTTGAAAATAAGAGTTGTGCTACTAAAATAAAATGTGCAAAAAAAAAAAAAAAAAAGAGAGAGAGAGAAGAAGGAAAAAAAAAAAGAAAATCGCTGCATCATGCTGTCTTGTCTATAGTTGAATTTTCACATGCTGTGGAAATTCAGCCAGAGATCCTGTGGAAAAATACTGAAAGGACCCTTGGATCACTGATTCTAAGTTTGAAAAAGGGCTTGGCTGGCTACTTCCAAGCTTGGCTGGCTTGCTTCCATGGGGCAAGTTTGGGAATCTTTTTTTTTTTTTTGTAATTGAGGCAATTGACTTTGTCAGCAAGCCAAGAGTGGATTTCTCTCATAGGGGTGAATTCACATTGATCAGTGTAACCAGGCTCCTAAGAGAGTGATAAAGCAGAAACTCTGTTTACCTTGAAAAATATAGTCATCTCACAATTATGTAAGCCAGTCATGCCTGTTTTTTCCCTGTAGGTCAAAGCAGATGGGAAACTGCATTCCAATCCAGGGATTTCCCGGTGAGTTAGAATGAGACAAAGGGGATGAACTGAATAGCTCAAACATGTTAAGTTATCAATATATTAAAATTCTTCTGAACTAATTGGTAAGGAGGCTCTTCCTGGAGCCTCCTGTCTGCTCCTACTCACTGCCCTTCTCATATCAGGGACCTCACAGAGCTCCCAGACGTTAGAAGGTAAATGCAGGCAGAATGGGGGCCCCAGGTCCCTGCTCCAGCTGTAGCTGAAGACCTTGCTGTTTGGGTGGTGCCTGTGCTATATGGATTGTTAAAGATGTTGACTCTCATCCCTGCTTTAGGGCACCCAGTCATGATAGCTGGATGCCCCTCGCCTTCTCCATAACAGAAATGCAGCCAGGAGAGGCCCAGAGCCTACTAATGTGTGGATATCCATCACCCCAGCGTTGTCTCAGTCAGAGCTTGAATCATCCCGACGATCCTCCTCGGTCTCATTTCTCTCTGTGTCTGTGATGCTGCATCCATTCTGACAGGCCCTTCTGTCCCTCAGGATGTTCCTGCTGTCAGTCCGGGCTGCTCTGGTCTGAAATTCATCCTGTCCATATAAGGAGACTTTAAATAGATCTTCTTTGATCTGGTGCTGGCTGGTTTTATAATTTTTCTCTCAGAGGGAAATCTTATTTCCCGTTTCCAAGTTCTTGGGTGATGCCTCACAGTCAAGCCCCATAGACTGTCTACCCAGAGGAGTTTAATTTTCATGGAATCCAACAGGGCCAGTGTGGAAAGAGACCTTAATAATCATTTAATTCAACCCTCTTGTTTTATAGACAAGGTGACTGAGAACCAGAGAAGGAATGGCAGGTTGAATTATTATTTATAATGAATATAATATTTACAACTGGTACAAATCACAAAGAAGACATTAATAAACTGATCTATACCAGGAAGCTGTTCCCTGGTTTTTTATAGCACTCTAAGCCTGGTGACCTTCCTGAGCAAACAGAGTCCCTCGCCTCACTGAGGAGAACTCCCGGGAACGCCAAAGGCCAAGGGAGACACCACAGGCAATAAAACATCCCTGAGCGAAACATCTCAACACCCCCAGACAAAGAAAGGCACAGAACTCAAGAAAGCAGTGACGGGAGAGCGTTAGTAAATGTTTAATGAAGATGGAGCACAGAGGTTGTCCAATGCATTGCCTCTTTTTGAAGCAAGGAAATGCTATGCGATAGATATCTGTCATTGTTTCAGCTTACCAACATTCATTTCCTCTTTTGACAGCTGCTGATTTTCTCTCGAGGGCTCACACCCCTGGACTCTGGGTGGTCATGGGAGGATGTGAACCCTGTACCCTGACTCCCATCACTGAGGCCAAGGGTCTGGACTCCTCCTCTTCCTCCTACTCCAGCACAGTGGGGAACCCGGCAGGACAGCTGTCCTCTGGGACTCTTGAGTTCACTGCTGCAGCCACCAAGCACTGACAGGAGTGTTTCCACCAAAGGGCAGCTCCTGCGACTTCCACTTCCCCTCTCCAAGGTGCCAGGGTTACTGTCTGTCGTCCAGCCTTCCATGGCATCCCTGTCTCTCCAGATCATCTCATTCAATTCTCTCATTGTTCCAGTGAGCCTGGATTGTTTTCTGTCGCCGACAACAGAAAACCCCAACTGATACCCTTGCCCTTCCCCAAGGTCACTTACCCAGATCAAGGTCCAGCCTGAGATTTGAGTTCCTACTGAGTCCCCTACAGGGGCACAGCTGTGAGCTAAATTGTGCCTCTCCCTAGGTTCATTCCTAACCCCTGAGACCTCAGGATGGGACAGTATTTGGAGACACGGTCTTTATTGAGCTAATACAGGTTAAATAGTTTACTCAGGGGATCCTCATCCAATACAACTGATGTCCTTGTAAGAAGAAATTGGGACACACGTTGGTGTGCAGTGGGAAGACCATGTGAGGACAGACAGAGAAGCTTGGCCATCTGCAAGCCCAGGAGAGAGACTCAGAACAAATCAATCTGCGGACAACTTGATCTTGGACTTCTAGCCTCCAGAACTGTGAGAAAATACATTTCTGTTGCGTAAGCGGCCCAGCCTGTGGTCCTTTGTCATGGCAGCCCTGGCAGATGAGTGCAGACCGCACTTCCCACCGCCATGGTGCCACTGTCTGTGGACAGCATGCCAGCCTCATCGCACGAGTCACCCCTGAAGATGCTCAAATTAGCAGGCTGTTCTTAGAACCAAATTTCCTGGACAGGCTTCAGAAAGCATTCTCTCTGGTGATACAGACATCTGAAAGACACACACACACACACACACACACACACACACACCCCAAAAACAAACAAAAAACCCATGGCCAAAACAAGGACCTTTCTCCCTTTCATTTCTTTAGTAATGCACAGCACCCAGAAGAGCAGGATAGATGGCTCCTCGGAGAAAACAGAATCATTTCTTAATAAACAAATGAGAATTTAGAGCCCGAGCCGACAACGAATTTAATCTTGTTCTCCCAGCATCCACACGGAGGAGGGAAGCAAGCAGAGGCAAAGACAGACATCACGGTTCCCCTTGATTCTAATATTGGGTTGGACGGGGGAGGGCGAAGATCTGCATGCCGAGCTCCCTTTCTCCACCCACGCCCCTCCTGGCATACACTCTCAGCAGAGCCTCACCGGGTTCCCCCTGCAAGTAATTGCAGAGGTCTCTTGGGGACAATAACCCCGATGTTACCTCTTGGAGGGTCAGAGGGAAGTGCTTAGGGCTGACGGAATGCAAGAGGGTGGAGGCCAAAGGGCTGAATATTAATGGGGGCTATCACCACCAGCTCTTAAGGTAATGGAAAAGCCCTCTGCAGAGCCAGGCTGGGGCCGGCCTCACACGGAAATGCAATCTTCTGCAACACAGAGTAGGCAGTGACAAGCAGTTTATCTTCCATTACTCCAAAGCCTTAAATCATTATTAACCCTAAGCCAGCAAAAGAAACCAAACCACTGACTCCAATGTCTCCTTATCTTCCCAGCAAATATAAATGTGCACGACATTGAGGCACCTGTATTAGGGGTTGAAATTTATCCCTCAACCCACCACCCCCGGAAAGAAAGCTATGTTGAAGTTCTAACCCCCAGTACCTCAGAATATGACCTTATTTAAAGATAGGACCTTAACAGAGGTAATCACGTTAAAATAAAGTCCTTAAGGTGGGCCCTAATCGAATGTGACTGGTGTCCTTATAAGAAGGAGAACTTGGGCTGGGTGCGGTGGCTCATGCCTAGAATCCCAGCACTTTGGGAGGCCAAGGCGGGCTGATCACCTGAGGCCAGGAGTTGGAGACCAGCCTGGGCAATATGGTAAAACCCATCTCTACTAAAAATACAAATTATCTGGGCATGGTGGTGGGCACCTGTAATCCCAGCTACTCAGGAGGCTGAAGTGGGGGGATGGCTTGAACCCAGGAGGTGGAGGTTGCAGTGAGCCAAGATCACACCACTGCACTCTGACCTGGGTGACTCAGTGAAACTCAGCCCTCAAAAAAAAAAAAAAAAAAAAAAAAAAAAAGGAGAACTTGAACACAGAAACACATGCAGGGAGAGCCACATGCAGGAGGAGCGCTGTGTGAAGGTGCTTCTGTAAGTTAAGGGACGCCAAAAATTGCCAGCAAACCTCTTGACGCTGAGGGAAGGCCTGGAAAAGATGCCCCCTCACAGGACTCAGAAGGCACCAACTCTACCCATACCTTGACCTCAGACTTCTCGCCTCCAGAACTGGGAAACCATAAATTTCTGTAGTTTAAACAACCTGCTTTGATGTACTTTGTTATGGTGGTCCTGGGAAAATAGACACAGAAAGCTCTAATCCACCGGGGAAGGGAAAAGTGGTCCCATCTCATCATAAAATGAGAATTTTTCTGAGGCCATAGGAATGGGTGGAGAAATGGGAGGCTGAGTCATTCCTTCTGCCATGGGTTTGCCTGGATAACAATGACTCAACCAAATGGAAGTCCCAAATAAAAGTCATTTTTCAAAGGAGTGTTTCCTCTTTTGAACAGTGCTGACTTAGCCCCAGCCAGCTGAATCAGCGTTTTTGGTGGTGGCAGGAAGTAAGGAGTGATCTTCCTAAAGTAGTGATGTGCTTCCTAGCAGAGTTGCCAGATTAAGCAAATAAAAATACACAGGATACCCAGTTTCATTTGAATTTCAGATGAATGACGAATAATGTTTCAGTGTATGTCTCAAATACTGCATGGGATAAAACATTCCTATATTTTGACTGGCAGCCCTCCCCTGATCTCCCCATCCATCCTCCATGTCCATTCTCTGCCTTATCCCTGGTGGAGAAGGGAGGCCCTCAGGCACATCGAGGCACCAAAGTTATGGTACAGTGCAAGGTAAACTCCCAGCAAGAGGTAAGGTGTGTCTCATGATACACCCTTTGGAGGAAGGGCCTCTGCCTCCTACTGTGGGGAATGATAAAGTTCTCCCACTGTGAGGATCCACCAGATAGCAGCCTTCATGGCTTTGACCATATGGGGATCCGGCCTGGGGTTGAGCAGAGAACCAGGAAAAAATAAGAGAGAAAAAAGTCAGAAGGAAAGGAGGATCCCGGGCACTCATCCAAAGCTGACTCCATGGGACTACAAGGTCACCGTAAGAGAGTGTCTGAACCATGCTCTGGCCTCAAATGTTTGTATGATTGGATATTCAAGTTTGTGGCCTTTCTAGTGAGAGCTGCATCTTCCCATTGCATGGGATGACCAAATAGCACAGACTTTGTTCCTGGGCATGAAGCTGGGCAACCTGCCAACAGAGTCCACACCCTGCCTCTGCACTGCACAAACATGGCGGTGGTCAGTGAGTGAGTGTCAAGTGACAAATATATGAGTACTCACCACAAAAGACAGTCCAGCCAATTTCTCCTTCTTGGAAATATAAAGCCAGACGGTCAAACCTATGGTCTGTCTTCTCCCAGGTATGTTAAAATTGTCAGCCGACTGAGTGCCAAGACCCTGGCTTAGAGATGTTGAAGACACACACCCTAGCAGGGACGTGGAGCTACAGGTATGCATGAGCAGGGCCTGGAGGAGTCCAGTAGGAAGCTGGCCTTGTTTGTGGCTAAATAAGTACTACATGGACATCTCAGTGTTTATGTAGCTGGAGGAGAGTCTGACTTGTATGCCTGAATGTCCAAGACTTTTCTCATAGACCAGGGAGAGTAAATTGGTGGGCCTCCCGGGAAGACAGTGGTGGGCCTCGGAAATGCCAGGAGGTATGAAATGCAAACAAACTGCCTGGGTGACAATTTCCCTTTTAATTTTTCAGAGGCTGAACTTGGAGCAATTGATATGGTGCCTGTTACACATGATAGAGAATGTTACCGTGCTTCAGATGCAGTGCCTGTGTAGAGGGCAGTAATCTGGACAAAAGGAAGGGCAGGGAGATGGAAGAAGGGAGGTCAGGAAGGAAAGCAGGAAGGCAAGAAGTAAGGAAGGAGCGAAAGGAGGAGAAGGAGAATTTGAATGGAAATTTAGTCTGGCCAATACCCAAATCTGGTTTCTTCCTCTCAGCGTGAAGTGCCCTGATTGGATAAGGAATTCACTGCAAGCCTTTTCAAACTGGCTGGTTTCTTTTTAAAGAACAAGGCTTCATTTGATTAGTTGCCCATTAAATCATAGGAGGAGGGCTGGGCTGGGTAAGGGAATAGGACAGTTAGAAGCTGGGAATAGCTTCCCTTCTGAGGCTCACAATGCTCTCTGAACTTGCTGTTCTGTCAACGAATCCCAGTCCAATGAAAACAGTTTTAATTACTGAAATCCATGTTGGTTGATGGATGGATGGATTCGACAAAGATTTATAGAGAGCCCATTAGGTGTGAGAGGGCCCCAAGTGAGGCCCTGGAGACATAAAGGCAAATGAAGCACAGACCCTGTAGCCCAGGCCCTCCCAGCACAAAAGGGCACACTGGCATGTTTTAATAAGACAGCATGTTCAGCTGTGCACAGCAACTGCTCTTTGGGCACATGAAGGGGCACCTGATCCAGACTGGAGATGGGTGGGGAAGATGACATGAGGGGTGGAGATGAGATGGGAGGGGAGATGAGATGGAATGTATCAGGTGATACAACCCAAAGATGTTTAAATAAATATCACTGAACCACACACCTTCACCTCTTCAGTTTATGGCATAGATACCAGCATTACAGGCAGCATCTTGCCCTTTTCCAGCTAAGTTTGCCATTTGTTTTTCTATTCCGCTCATGCCAGTGGTTATAAGGTAATAATGGGTATGAGTTTTCTATTCATGGAACACGTGGGTACTCCCATGGTGTATGTCACGTACACCACAAAATTCCTGCGCACCATGTATATACTTGAATGTGTTAATTAAAACTAGGAGGTTCCTGGCACATCCTTACTTTCCATTTCCTCATACCTATCCTTGATGAGTGAGGTGGGATTGTACTTCCTTTTTGTCTTCCATAAAAAAAGCCCTAATAGGTCTCATGAAATTCCATTCATTCATGCAATAAATATTCATCGAGTGCTTCTGTGTTCCAGATGCTGTATCAGGGCTCGGTATACAAGGAAGCCAATGGTAGATATGAACCTCCTACCTGGAGTTCAGAGTGGCTCTCAGATGCTTCTGGGAATCACAATTCCCTAGGGAACTTGTTTAAAAACGCAGATGTCCCAGGCTTGGTCTGGAGGAAAATGTGATTCTACGTCCCAAACCAGGAGACTGACCCGTGCACACCGCAGAACTGTGAGGATGAGGAGCCCCTGGCATCCAGAAAGGATGGGGTGGAGATCCAGAGGTTGATTCCAGAGAGCCCGGGGGGCTGCAGGAACATGGGGATGGGGTGAGGGAGGGACGCCATGCATGCATCCCTCGAGCCATCCCCATGCTCCATGGGCATATTGTCCCAACATAAAACCCAGAAATGGAAAAGAGCATGAGAAGGGGTGGCCCCCAGCATGAAAACTCCTGAGTACTTTTGCCTGATTATTATTCCATTTGGTCTAATTGCATTTTAAAATGCTCAGTGGGGAGAAAAAATGCCAAGTCTTTTAATAAATTAAGAGCAGGTCTGCTTTTTAACCTGCAGCAGGTTTTTAAAAAGTCCTGCTGAGGGCACACTGCTTAGAGAGACATGGTCTTTGCAGATGAAGGTAATTAGAACACCTTCACCTCTGGAGTCGGGAGGGAGTACGAGGGGCTTTGGTTACTGCAGTAATCTCTTCCTGATTGGGAGGAAACTGGTATTTACAGAAGATGCCTAAAGATTCAAATGTGGTTTTCTCTTTCCGCGAATCTGGAGGCAGAGTGTGTGCAGGAACTCAAAGCCCATGGAACAGCAGGATGCAGCTTTTCTTGGCTCCGTTACTGAGAGATCCTGTCTGATGTTTCCTCTCTGACAGGCCGTGACTGGGGACACTTGGATGCCCAGCAGAGCTGGATTTAGGGGCAGAAGAACTGGGCAGCTGTCCC